CGAACCTGTGCCCCTTGCAGTGGAAGTGCAGAGTCTTAAGCGCTAGACTGCCAGGGAAGTCCCCAGAGTTTTTAACATAGTGATCTTTCATTTAAACATTAAGATACAGAAAAGGAAGTTATAAAGGAAGGGATTAATTCAGTATTGCACAGCAGCAGTTCATAAGAATTTGGAGATCGCTTGTGTCAGGCCTACATCATATTCAATGGCTCTGGTAGGAACGTGATCTGAAGATTTTTTTAATGCAATATTTCAAGTGATGATTACAGTTGATCCTTGAAGAGCACAGGTTTGAACTGCATGGGTCCATTTATACATGGGTCTTTTTTCAATAGGAGATACTACAGAACTCCATGACCCCAGGTTGGTTGAATCCATGGATGTGGAATTGTGGATAAGGAGAAACTGCAGATACTGAGGAACCATGAACACAGTGGACTGGAAATCATAGTGGATTTTTGATTGCATGGAGGGTTGGTGCCCCTAGTCCCTGTGTTGCTCGAGGGTCAACTTATTTCCTTATTAACATCATGATAGGGTCTTCTCTGGCGGTCCAGGGGTTAAGACTCCACGCTCCCAATGCGGGGGTCCGGGTTCGATCCCTGGTCACGGAACTAGATCCTGCATGCTGCAGCTAAAGATCCCACATGCCACAATGAAGATCTGACATGGGACAACGAAGATCCCGTGTGCAGCAGCGAAGACCCAGAGCAGCCAAATAAAAACAAACAAACAAAAAACATCATGATAAAGGAAGAAGGGATATTTTAAGCCATAGCTTTTCAACCTGTATAGTTCATAAACATTGAATTTCTCCCTCCTATTCCGATTTGTCCCCTATGAAGTACTTGGAGTCTGTCTTCCAAACCCCACTTAAAAATGTGTCTTAAGTATATCATATATGTATTCCTATTAATTGACTCTGTTGGCTTTTACTTTCTCTACTTTGTAGTACAAATAACAATTTTTGTCTCTTTTCTAAATACTAAGTCTGGTTTTGCTAGGTCCATATACATGCCTTCCCCAGACTCCATTCTCACACACATTAAGAAGCACTGGAGTAAGTGATCAAACATAGCATTGGGTGGGAACCAAATATTAAGAGAAATGTTGATTGAATTGAACATAATTGAATTCAATCATAGACCACCAGATACAAAATGAACTGTCATTATTTTGGCCTAAATGAATTTAAGGGTTTGTTATTACACTTGATTCCTTGTAATGTTAAAGTATGTCAGAGAACCCATTTTATTGCATTTTAGAAGAACCTAGTGACATATACAGTGTAAAAACTTAAATGTTTAAATATTTAAGAATCAAAGATCTGTTGTTGAGACTGTTGCTCTAATAGGTTATTTACTTTTCTTTCCTCTATTTTTAAAAAAGTTATTTATTTATTTATTGGCTGCGTTGAGTCTTCGTTGCTGTGTGCAGGCTTTCTCTAATTGCGGAGAGCGGGGTCTGCTCTTCGTTGCGGTGCGCGGGCTTCTCATTGCGGTGGCTTCTCCTGTTGCGGAGCACAGGCTCTAGGCATGCGGGCTTCAGTAGTTGTAGCTTGTGGGCTCTAGAGCGCAGGCTCAGTAGTTGTGGCGCATGGGCTTAGCTGCTCCGCGGCATGTGGGATCTTCCCAGACCGGGGCACAAACCCGTGTCCCCTGCATCGGCAGGCGGACTCTCAACCACTATGCCACCAGGGCAGTCCCTCTTTCCTCTTTTTAAAGCAGGTCTTTTCCAGTCCTTTCTCCTTTATTATGTTAATTCAAATTATAGGATAAACCAGCAGTTCTCAAAGTGTGGTCTACAGACTCCTATTTGTCCCCAGACCCCTTTGGTCTCTGAGATACTTTCTGAAGGCCTGGCAGTCAAAAGTATTTTCATACTAATACTAAGATGCTATCTTCCTTTTTCACCAATGATACTTGCCCCAGTGGTGCAAAGGCAATGGTGGGTGAAATTGCTGGTCCTGTGGCACACACACATCACAGTGGCACCAACACGCTATAGAAGTGGTCTTCATCACATGCACTCACGGTTTAAAAAAAGCCAGTTTTACTTAAGAATAGCAGATGAAGCAGTAAAAATGATTCATTTTAATAAACCTTGACTCTTTAATACATGTCTTTTTTAATAGTCTGTGATGAAATGGGAAGTACACATGGTGCACTTCTGCACACAGAAGTGGGAGTGTTTGCTCAAGGGAAAACACAAGCTAAACTAGCCATTTTTTCCATGGAACACCAGAAGGCCTAATAGACAAACTGTAGTTATTTAGATCTAGGTTTTTGACAGACATTTTCTTGAAGATGAACAATGTGAGCCCATCTCTTCAGTGGAAACAATGGATGGTATTTGTTGATAATGAATATTTGAGCTTTTCAAGTAAAAATTGTAATTTTGGAAAACTTGTTTCTGTCAGTATGAGTTTGACAGCTTCCTAATTTTTTGATAAGATCAATGGTAATATTTTTGTGATTTAAAAAATAATATATGATATGCATCAACATTTGGAAGATCTGTATAACTCAGTGAACCAACTTTTTTTTTTTTTTTTTTTTTTTTGGGGGTACGCGGGCCTCTCACTGTTGTGGCCTCTCCCGTTGTGGAGCACAGGCTCCGGACGCACAGGCTCAGCGGCCATGGCTCACAGGCCACTCTGCAGCATGTGGGATCTTCCCGGACCTGGGCACGAACCCTGCATTGGCAGGCGGACTCTCAACCACTGCGCCACCAGGGAAGCCCGAACCAACATTTTTGAAATGATCAATGCATGGTGTTACAAAATGACTGGGTAAAAAGTCCATTCAAGGACAAACGTTGACTACCATTTTAATACAACAGAGTACAAAAAAGTTTATTGATAAAATTTTAGATTCCGCATTGCTAGCCTCAAAGAAATTACAATGATTTGAAAAGGCTAAAAATTAAAAAAATACTTGTCCCTTTTCCATTCACATCTGTGTGGTGTTGGATTTTCTTCATATATTTTAACCCAAACAACATATCACAACAGATTGAGGGCAGAAATAGATATGAGAATCTAGCTGGATGCCACTAAGCTAAATATTTTTTTTTTAATTTCAAAAACTGTAAACCAATGCCACCCTTTTCACTAAATTTCTTTTGGAAAATATTGTTATTACTCATAAAATATATTTATGTTAACGTGTGTGATGTGTTAACTCAGAGGGTGTTTTTTGGATGAGATTAACATCTAATCAATGAACTTTTAAGTACAGCAGATTGCCCCCCATAATGTGGGTGGGCCTCATCCAATCAGTTGAAGGCTTGACTAGAATGAAAAGCCAGCCTCCTCAAGCAAGATGGAATTCTCCTGCAAACTGCCTTCAAACTTCATCTGATAAAGAATGAGTAGGAATTTAGCCAGAAAAGGGATATAGGAAACTGTGGGGGTGGGGAAACATTATCTGTGAAGGCTCAGAGGTGAGAAAGCATGGTGCATTGAAGTCACCACAAAAGTTTCTGTGTACTGCATGGAGAAGCATAAGAGGGGAAGCTTGGGGGTAAGACAGCAAACAATAAACGAGTTTGGAGTTGTCGAGTTTGGTTTTTTTTTGTTTGGTTTTCGGTTTGTTTTTGGCCCTGCCATGTGGCTTGCAGGGATCTTAGTTTCCCGACCAGAACCCATGTCCCCTGCATTGGGAGCACGGAGTCTTAACCACTGGACTGCCACGGAAGTCCCTGGAGTTGAGTTTGGAGATGAAAAGCGACGAGGTGAATTCTGGACTTTAGACCAAGCAACCTTATAAATGAGAGGAAAGAGATGTGACAGGGGGCAAGAACTGAGCTGTTATCACAGTCCAGGGGGGAGAGAATTTAAATTAGGATCGTGATCGTGATAATTTGGATGGAGACATGGGTGGATTTAAGGTTTTTAGGTGATAGAATCTCCAGACTTGACACAGGGTTGTATGTGGGTAGTGAGAGAGCAAGAGTTAAGGATTATTTCTGGATTTCTGGATCAGGCAACTGAATAGATGAATGAAGTCATCCGTGGAAACTGGAAACACTGAAAAAACAGTGGGGAACTATGAGTTCAAGACACATTAAGTTTACCAAAGTGGAGTTGTCCAGTAGGTAGCCAGATGTACTGGCTTGTAACTGGAGTGGAGTCCAAGGTGCAAGTACAGATTCGGCAGTCATTAGCCATAGCTGGCAATTTAGGTCCTGGGGGAAGCTTAAACTGAACAGGGAATATGAGATCAAGCCCTGGGAAGTAAGTCTTCCTTCCAATAGATAATACAAGAACTACCGTTTCACGGTTTCTTTAGTACTTTCTGCGTCATTCTCAGCAACTTGGAGGAAGCGTCTATGCCCGCCGGCACAGAGATGTTCGACAAGCAGGGCCAGAACAGGTGCCGTAGCTGTTACAGAAAACTGAGAAAGGCTTCAACGGTTGGAAAAACAAGGTCAACAGCCGTTGCTTCTCGGAGGACGAAATCAATTTCCGGATGGTGGCGAAGGCCGGCCCACGGGAAGATTCGGGCGGGTGGGCTGGACCCGAACTTGTTGCTATGGAGATGGGGCGGATTAAAGTGGCCGAACGAGATTATTCGAAAGGGACACTAACAGTGTAAGGACTAAAAAAAGAGCGATGCCGGAAAAGGTAGTTATCTGGAAACAGACAGACACGGAGGCTGAAACAGGCAGCCGTGCGAGGTCCGGTCGCTTGTGTTCCGGTCCATTTGTACACAAAAAGGAACGGGGCTCCGCTCGCCGGAAGTATAACCTCTGCCCTCGGCGCATTACGCATCCTCCGCGCCGGAATAGCGCCCCGCTTGGTCCGGCCGCTTCCCCCACCGCCCAGTAGGAGGGGCGGCTGGGCCGCCGGGCTGTGCAGCCTGGAGTCGTCGGCAGCGCGGAACGTGGGCGCACGAGGAGCCAAGGAGCGACCTGCGTTGCCGGGAGAGGGAGGGGAAAGGAAGGTGGCGTAGCGGGGCGACACGTCGCTGCGGAGGGATCCTGTTTCTGTTGGCGGAGGGATTTGGTCGCACGCTGACTTCCGGTGAGCCCCGATCCGAGAGGAAAAGCCCCGAAGGAAACAATAACAAATGCAGGAGGAAGCGGTTTTGGGGTGCGTGTGTTGAGCGGGTCTCGCCCGAGAAGATGAGCTTCGGCCCCTGTCAGGGGACGTGAGCGCTATCGCCGGTCCCCAGCCAGCCCTTCTCCCCGTGGGCCCCCGGTGCCACCATGGCGGCCGTGGGGCCGGGGGGCTACGCGGCGGAGTTCGTGCCGCCTCCGGAGTGCCCGGTCTTTGAGCCCAGCTGGGAGGAGTTCACAGACCCGCTCAGCTTCATCGGCCGCATCCGGCCCCTGGCGGAGAAAACCGGCATCTGCAAAATCCGACCGCCCAAGGTACTGGAGTCTGATCGGCTTAGCTCGACTTCCCGGTCCGCTGCCCTTTCGCGTTCGTTCGCCCTGGCCTCTCGACACCTGGACTTTAAGTTTCTCCGTGTTTCCACTTTGGTTTCTTTGGGGTCTTCTGTAGGCACGTCTGGACGCGAGAAAGTAGTGTCCCGGGGCCTTTCCGCCAAGAGCTTGGGAACTGATACTTTTCTTTCCCTCTTGGGTTGTGGGCAAGGGTAACAAAGGCTTTCGGCCTTTCGTTGGCCGTAAGGTGACTGAAGTATCGTGACGTGACAGCCCTACCCTCGCGTATAATCCTCGTTACAGTGCGATAGGAAAAACTGCCGTTCCGTCGGCTCTTGCTTTCTCTTAGCCCTGCTGACGCTTGATTTACTAAGTATCTGCAGGCCTCATCTTAGGGCTAAGGTTTCTTAAATGGTAATCTGAGCTCTAGTTGTCCCTTGGGGTGGTATCCCCAAACAAGCACCCCAGACTGATTACTGCGGCAGTGATAAAAAGTCTTCCCGGGGGAGGAGAAGGAAAAAGCAGCAATTATTTTAAACATTTAGAGGTTTAGAAAAAATTTGTCAATAATGGAGGTGGAAGAAAACGCTGAAATCTTAAAAACATAAGAATCGCAGTTATTGCACATAACTGGGTTTGCCTCTAGGTTAGTTAGGATCCTGTCTTTACGGCGAGGAAAGATGATACTACTATTTGTTTTGCGGGGATTAGTGCCCCAAGAGGTTGAGGGTTTGCTCAGGGTCAAAGGTTTTTTTCTCTACCCGTTAGGTCCAGTGCATTCCAGATGATGTTCCTGGTCCACCTGCACTAGGGTCGACCGGATGCTTGTGAAAATGCAGATCCCTAGGCCTCATTCCCAGACTGGAATCAGTTTCGGGATATGGAAGTTCTAGAAACTGCTTTTCTAGCAAGTACTCTCTTGATTCTTAATGAACATTAAAGTTTGTGAACCATGCCTTAGTGCTCCTTAAAGGGATATCTTGCTTTATGTTTTGTCTACTAGTAGTAAAATAAAATACAGTCCTTTTACACCTTGTTGCATTTTAAAAAGCTTCTGCTCTCACCACAAACTAGCACAGAAGTGTGCAAACTACCACAGTGAATAAAAAGAGCTTAGATGGAGGGGGGAGGAGGAGCAGCTAGCGTAGCATTTACAGATGTTTTCATTTAATATTCTTTGAAGCCTCAGTAGGTAAATAAGGTCATTTTACAGATGAGACAAATCTGGATAAGTTAAATAACTTATCAGACGTGTGATCTTGGGCAATGGCAAAGTAGATTTTGAATCTAGATCCATCTGTTTCTAAAACTCAGGCAAGCTACTTCCCTTATGCTCAGTGAATTTGATTAAGATCATAGACTATCAGTTGCAAGCAAAGGATTAACAAATAATTGCTTTGATGAGTGGTGGTACGCGTATTGGCATCCTCCCCAAAGTTCACTTAACTCTCCTATGAAAAATTTATTTTCACTTAATTCTTTTTCTATCAAGATTACCTGATATTGACAAAACCTTAAACACTGAGGCTTTTCCTAAACCATATTTTCATTTATTCTGTTGCTTTAATAAATTAAAAATTCTATACAAGGTTCCTTTTAGTTAAAAAAATATATATATACATGTATAGCTTTTTATTACTTACAAAAGGTTGAAATAATATACCTTCTCTTTGCGTCACAATATTATTATTGAAAATAAATGTTTTTTACAAGCAGAATTTAATTTCAGTGTTGGTGGATTTCTTTAGTATCCAAGGTAAGATAAAAATTTTTTACTACTTTTCACATTTTTAAATAGATTACTATTTAGGCTAAATCAAACTATGGTCTCTGGAACTCTACTTGAAATGTGCTGTCTCATTTCAGTTATACCACATCTCCAACCTGGAAATTGTCCTTGTTCTGTGGGTTTGGTAATTTTCTTAAAATTTTAATATTAAAAAAAAAATTGGGGTGCCCAGAAGCTGGGCTTTGAACAAAACATTTATATAACATAGACTTTAAAGTGCTGTGTCACATTCCACATGAATGAAAAAGCACATTGTCCAATTACATAAGTACTTTTAAAACATTACCTTTTGGTCTTTAATTTTACCTTTTTTTGTTTCTTTCAAATTCTATTTTCTTTTTATTTTGATAAACTTGGATGTTTACTAGATGCTGTATTGAGATGAGCTTATTGCATTCCACTTGAGCAATTGGGGAAAGTGTAATTGTCAGATATAAATAATGGGACTGTGAGATTTGAGGAGAAAATTGATAAAATAAGCTTAGTATTAGAATGTTAGAGATAAGTAATAATAAATTATTTTATCAAAAAATACTATTCTTTCAATCTCTAACTAAAGAAGACTTGTAAGTTGATCTGTTGTCATCATGATTTGTGGCAACTCACCCCTTAAATTAAGGGAATGAATAGTGCATTCCTTGCTTATTAACCAATATGGTGAAGAAATTTTTTCTATTTAGGATTGGCAGCCTCCATTTGCATGTGAAGTAAAAAGCTTCCGTTTTACTCCCAGAGTCCAGCGTCTGAATGAACTTGAGGTGAGTGTTGTTACATCACCGTTTCTGTCTCCTGATCTATTCTTTATATCAGGACTCCAGGTAGAGAACTTTAAGAAGCTCATGTACCAGGGCTCAAAATTAATGTTAATTGGTACTGAATGGAAGGAAGTTTCCAATTAAAAAAAATTGTTTATAGTAGTTATTACAGTTTTTTCTGCTTAACTGGGATTGTGGGACACTATCTCTAGCCATGTTTTTCATGGTGGAAATATCCAGTATTTAGCTTTAGAGAACTGGAATTCTTAAATTCTACTTTGTTCAGTGCTAATTATTCTAATAAACTTTTCTTTTGTTAATGTTGGAAGATTCTGTATCTTTGGAAAACAGTTTTAAAAATTCTTCTATTAAAAAAACCTAGTTTTCCAAGGTGTTTTTTGTATGTTTGTTTGGATTTTTGCTCTAACAGAACTTTTCTAGGACTCTTAATCTGATTTATTAAGATCTCCCTTTAAACATTTTGAACGTCTCTTAAACTTCTAAGTTGAAATCTGTTGAGATAGTTGTTCTTCCTGTTTCTGAGATTTTCAGAAGATTCTTCAATGTGGTGAAAAACTTCCAGAGTACAAAAGAGAAATCTTAGACAGGGCTTAATGTGTCATGCTGAGTTTGTTTTTTTTCCTTGCTGCTCCTAAAACATTTATTTTTTGAGATTTTAATACCTTTTTTTTCCCTTTAGTCTCTTATTAACATACTTGATGGAGGATCTTAATATCAGTGAGGTGGAGAGTTGGTGTACTTGAAGTATGCATATTATCTCTAGATGAAATGACAGGTTTAGAATGCTTAGAAAAAATAATTCGATTACTAAATTTTCTGATTAGCTTGAAGTTAACTTTTACAAACATTTGCTTTGGTTGATAATATTAGAACTTTTCACATATATTAGAGTAACTTTTTTGTCTTAGTAAAGTTTAATGGAAGTATTTTGCTTTTTTATTGACTTATAAGGTTGGACTAAGTAATGAGAAGTCTGGATTTCTTTAAAGAAATGAGTACCTTTGTTAAGTAAAACTCATTTACTTTCACCAAAACTTAATTCCTGTCTCTCATTTCTGTATTTTAATAATCTTAGGCAATGACCAGAGTGAGATTGGACTTCTTGGATCAACTAGCAAAATTTTGGGAGCTTCAGGGGTCTACCCTCAAGATCCCTGTGGTGGAGAGAAAAATTCTGGATCTCTATGCTTTAAGCAAGGTGAGGCTTGTACTTTGTTAAGAAATTGAACAGGGGCTAGTGAATTTATGAAATTAGGAATTTCAGATATACTTGATGGAAAACATCGCTTGCTATGTAGGATTTGTTTGACAATGAAATGCAAGCATGAGTAAATGGAAATGATAGATTTCCAAGTTACTTTTAAAATCTATTTTATAGTTATGAGATTAATATTTAATAGCTACTCAGATTAGTAGGTTCTGTTTACACAGTATGCAAAAGAAATGACACAGACATCCTAATATTATTTTGTATGAAATGAACAATGTCCTATATTGAGCTTGTCAGCTTTTTTTCTGCTTCTTAATTGAAAATTTGGTATATTAAAGAGATTAATGTCACTCAGCATTCTCATGTGTGGTACATACCAGTTGTATTAATACCTGTAAGTAGTGTTAGTGGTTAACTGAGGGCAGCATTATCCAGTAGGATGAATATTAACTTTGTAATGTTACTTTTCCTAATGTGAAAAAAACTAACTGACCTGCAACAGGGTTTGTAACGATTACCTTGACAGCATATTTTGTTAATACAATAAGAAAAATCTATGACCGCTCTGACTTGTGAATGAAGATAGCTTGATTACCTGTGGAATTTTGCAAAACACTTTATCTTTTATGTACGTATTTATTTATTTATGGCTCCGTTGGGTCTTTGTTGCTGTGCATGGGCTTTCTCTAGTTGCGGCGAGCGGGGGCTACTCTTCGTCGCGGTGCACGGGCTTCTCATTGCGGTGGCTTCTCTTGTTGCGGAGCATGGGCTCTAGGTGTGCGGGCTTCAGTAGTTGTACCTTGCAGGCTCAGTAGTTGTAGCTTGTGGGCTCTAGAGCACAGGCTTCAGTAGTTGTGGCGCACGGGCTCTAGAGCGCAGGCTCAGTAGTTGTGGCACACGGGCTTAGTTGCTCCGCGACACGTGGGATCTTCCTGGACCGGGGCTCAAACCCGTGTACCTTGCATTGGCAGGCAGATTCTTAACCACTGTGCTACCAGGGATGTTCCAAAACAACTTATTTTTGTGGCCTTTCATATGCTATGATTGATAGGCTGTTTTGAAGTAAAAATTTATTCTCACTTTAGGAAGCTTCCACTTTCAAGGAAAAACAAACGCTAGAATAATTATATTTAAATTATTTTTTATGATACATTTAAAAATTAATGTCAGGTCAGAATTCTGTAGAATTTTTCTTTTACGTAGTACTAAGCATTTTGGAAAGTATAGTCTTATGCTAAAATAGCAGTGATAGGCTTATTTTATCAGTAAGGTAATCAGTAATTAAGGACTGTGAAAATCATCTCATGCAGTTGTATAAAAAAAACTATGATACTGGGGCTTCCCTGGTGGCGTAGTGGTTGAGAGTCCGCCTGGCGATGCAGGGGACACGGATTCGTGACCCGGTCCGGGAGGATCCCACATGCCGCGGAGCGGCTGGGCCCGTGAGCCATGGCCGCTGAGCCTGTGCGTCCGGAGCCTGTGCTCCGCAATGGGAAGAGGTCACGGCGGTGAGAGCCCCGCGTACCGAAAAAACAAACAAACAAACAAACAAACTATGATACCAATGGGCAAATTATAGTGAATTTGAGGGATAGGCTTTTGTCTTGTGGGAAACCATTAGGATAAAAAATTTGTTTTGAGAATTCTCTTTTTTGACATTTCTATTCAGTGAAAACTTACCTACTAACATTTTTTTTTTTTTTTTGGCTGCATTGGGTCTTCATTGCTGCGCGTGGGCTTTTCTCTAATTGCTGCAAGTGGGGGCTACTCTTCATTGTGGTGCGTGGGCTCCTCATTGCGGTGGCTTCTCTTGTGGAGCACGGGCTCTAGGCGCGCGGGCTTGAGTAGTTGTGGCTCGTGGGCTTAGTTGCTCCGCGGCATGTGGGATCTTCACGGACCAGGGCTTCAACCCGTGTCCCCTGCATCTTTTTTTTTTTTTGTGGTACGCAGGCCGCTCACTGCTGTGGCCTCTCCTGCTGCGGAGCACAGGCTCCGGATGCGCTGGCTTAGTGGCCATGGCTCACCGGCCCAGCCGCTCCGCAGCATGTGGGATCTTCCTGGACCGGGGCACGAACCCACGTCCCCTGCATCGGCAGGCGGACTCTCAACCACTGTGCCACCAGGGGAGCCCTGGCAGGTGGATTCTTAACCACTGCGCCACCAGGGAAGCCCTACTAATTTTTATTATGTGATGCTGTTTAAGGTTCTGAATATGTTTGGTTTGATTTATGCAGCTTAAATAAAATACAAAAATATTTTCAAAAGTTATTTATTAATATCAATAGTGTTGTGGTAATCTTCAACCAAAACTCATGCCATGTACCTTAGTTTTATAATACCCTAGGGAATTTGATAGAATAAATATATAAGCAGACAATCTATTAGATTGAAGCTGTTCCTGTATCATTAATTTCCCAATTAAGAGGTAAACATTCGGTTATACTGATGGTAGATTGCATTCTTGGTTTTACAGAGTTACAGCATTTCAAAATTAGGAAGAGGCTTTAGAAGTAACCTAATCTGAATACCTAGTTGTTTATAACTCTGTGTAACATTTGCCATCTGGACTGTTTAACTCCATTTTGAGAAACCCAATTCCTTTTTGTGCAGAGAGGGACTACTGCTTATAAAGTATATATTGATCAGCAAATCTGTTGTGATTAGAGGTTAAGTTTGATTGTCCTGGGGTTTATTGGAGGCTCGTCTTTAAGTGCCCATGGACATCTCTTTCCCCTAACCTTGAGAATGCTTATAAATCTGAGATTTAAAGCTGAAAGGCAGACATTTGTAGTTATTTTGTTTATACTTTATAATACTTTTGTTCCCTAAATGTCATAGTGAGATTGCTGCTTCTCACCGCATGAACTTTTTTCTTTATCTTGAGGCTTAAAGTAGAGTGGGATACACAGGTCTTAAATGTCCAGCTGGGTAGATCTTTCTGTATGTGTACCCTTGTGTAAGCACCACTGAGCGCCTACAGCACTCTCATGGGCCCCTTCCTCTCCCTCCCAGTCAGTACTTCTCCCCAAAGGTGACTGCTGTTTTGCCCTCCGTCACTGGTGAATGGCTTAGGGACATTTTACTTTCTAGCAAGAGGCTCAGGCTGAAAACTGCACAAAATACTGAGAGTTCTGATATTGTTAGGTTGTTAGGTATGCCCTTTACTTTGAAAAAACATTATTTTTGGCTCATAGCTGATGAGCATCTCTTGATTTAATCCATTTTGAGTTTATTTTTGTGTATGGTGTTAGGAAGTGTTCTAATTTCATTTTTTTTTTTTTGTGGTACGCGGGCCTCTCACTTTTGTGGCCTCTCACATTGCGGAGCACAGGCTCCGGATGCGCAGGCTCAGCGGCCATGGCTCACGGGCCCAGCCGCTCCGCGGCACGTGGGATCTTCCCAGACCCGGGCACGAACCCGTGTCCCCTGCATTGGCAGGCGGACTCTCAACCACTGCGCCACCAGGGAAGCCCTTATTCTAGCCATTTTTAAAAGAAATTTTTGTCAAAGTAATACATTAAAAAAAATAATAAAGCTTAAAATAAAAACCAGCATTCTCCCTTCTTCATCTCTCCACTCTCTTTACTACTCCTTAGAGCTAATCACTTCCATTTTTTTTAGCTGTTTGATTTTGATCTCCATATTTCCAAAAAACATGCTCATTATGCTCTTTCTTCATTTTTAAGTGTAAATATCATATACGTACTGATTGCCTACTACTAGAGATTGACAATGGGTATAAAAATTAAATTCTTATGTACTTCAGATCCCCTATTCCCTTATAGTGTAGTTAGGTCAATTTTTTATTAATCAGAAATTATTGCTGTGACTGTATAAATACAAATTTATTTGTACCTGTGCCTAATGGTGTGCTATGATTATGTCTCATGTTAATAGGGTGCTGTAATTATGTTACCAGTTTTTATTTTCCTTGGACTTAATAGTCCCGTTGCCTTTTTTCATTTTGTAAGTTTTCTTTGTGACTATTAAAACTTTATTTTCAGATTTTCCAGAAGTATAAATCTCTCAGAATGCTCTCACCCATCAGAAAATCTGCCAGTTTCCTTTCCTTCTTGGATCCCTTCCTCTGGAGTTCTCTTTCCTGCTCCAGAGTCCAGACTAGTTTTTTTTTTTTTTTTTTTAAGGTCAGCTCTCAGCTTAGAACTTCTTTCACTGTTGATAATTCTGGGAATTCCCTTTGTCTTTCTCCTTGTTTTAAGTCTTCCTATTACTTGGTTTATTCCTACTTTAGTAAAACATTTCTTCTGCTAGTTTGATGAGCAAGAAGAAAAATGGAATGTAAATTTTTTGCTTGTCTGAAAGTGTTCTACTCTTAAACTTTATTGGTAGTTGGGTGGGTTTAGAAGTCTAGATTGCAAATCATTTCACTTCAGAATTGTATTTTGAAAGCTTTACTTCATGGCCTTCTAGCTTTCAGTGTTGCTGTTGAGAAGAATGATGCTATATTAATTCTTGTGACTTTTTCTTGAAGACACAGGGTCTAATCTTTATTCCCAGTGTTTTGAGATTTCACAGTGGATATGTGCTGGTGTGTGTTAATTTTCATTGAATAGGTTTATTGCACTTGATGACCTTTTTAATCTGAACTCACCTCTTTGAGTTCTTGTAACTTTTCTCGTGTTAACTCTTGGACAGTTTCTTCCACTTACTTTTTCTCTCTTTTTGAACTCTCATTGGTTGGATGTGAGACTGTTGGACCGATCCTCTACTTTACTTACCTGTTTCTTTCTTAGGTTAAGAGTCCCTTCTTTTCAAACTCTCCTGAGAGTAAATCTCCAGTCTTCTGGAGAGGGATGGTTGCCTGGCGTGCTAACTGGGGGAGGTCTGATTGCTTTTATACAGGTTTTCAGTCAACACTGTTCTTTTTAAATTTAATGTTAAAGGTACTGCTGCTTCCATTTCTTAAGCCTTTCCAGGTTCTATGTTGCGAAAGCTTCTCTTTAGCTTTCTTCTGTTGCAAATGCTTGGGGCTTTTTTGTCTGTTTTTTGTTTTTGCTTGCCAGATTATCATTCCTACATCTGCTTTTCTCTTGGTCTTTTTGTCCTCTTGGGAGTATGCCTTTTTGTCCCTTCCTTTTTAGTGGAGCTTTGAGAGGGAGCTTTTAAGTAGAAGACTGCTGCTGTTTTTTGTCTGTTAAAATTGTCTCTTGCTAACTGGACTTAGGTTTTCATTGGACTGAAATTTTGGCCTTGAGTGGCATTACTCTTTTGTTAAGTTTTAATTAAGGGGCTGTCTTCATTGTGTTTAGTTTAAGTGCATGCCGTGTATTTCTTTATAGGGCATGGGTCATGTGATGTTTTTCTAATGACAGTGCTGTGATATAGTGCATGGCAAATGTTGGGAATAAATGGTTTATATTTTGAAATTATGCATGGTAATCCTTGTATCTCTCAGCTGAAGAAAAGCAAGTGTTAAGGTTTTGTGTGTTTTTATAGTATTAGGCCCGGTTAGATTGTCATAGAGTATCTAAACATGAAGCCGAAGTCCTGGCTTTGATTTCTTTGTTAGTGTTGTCTTACTCTTGGCCATCCCCGATTATGGTGCTGCCATTGTCACAGCTGTGTGCCAGAAATGGTCAGAGCTGGGTGGGAAGCGTGACTGGATCCGTGCAGCTATGTCATTACTGACGGAAGCAGATTATTATGTAATTGTGTTGGGAAATACAGATGACTGAGAGGGCTTCTGTTTCCTCTCTCAGACTTTTGCTGCTTCTCCCCACTTGCTTCAGCCACAGTGGTTTCCTTATTGCTCCTCAACATGCCAGGCAGGCTTCTCATGTGGGCCTTTACTCTGGCTGTTCCCTGCCCTGTGTGTCTGCTTGGGTACCTGCTTCACCTCCTTCAAGTCTTTGCTCAAGTTTCGCCTTCATATAATGAGGCTTTTTGTGACTGTTTGATGCTTCAGTTTACCCTCATTCTCCTACTTGGGAGGCTTTTAAATTACCCTTTAAAATTTTTTTCACAGCGTTTGTCACTTCAAAATTGACATGTTATGTTTAGTCTTCCACTAGGCTGTAAGCTCCAACAGGGCAGAGATCTTCATTTTATTCATAGCTGTATCTCCAGCACCTAGAACAGTAGCTGACAGAGTAGAGACCCTGGGAAGCTATGAATGAAAGGCATTCTCACTCATCCATCTGCTTCTAGACAGCCCTCTATCCAAACCACCCTTCATGTGTCTTCCTCTACACTACAAAATTTGAAAAATAAATTTTTTTTTCTTTTTTTTTTTTTTGCGGTACGTGGGCCTCTCACTGCTGTGGCCTCTCCCACTGTGGAGCACAGGCTCCGGACGCGCAGGCTCAGCGGCCATGGCTCACGGGCCCAGCCGCTCCGCGGCATGTGGGATCCTCCCGGACTGGGGCACGAACCCGTGTCCCCTGCATCGGCAGGCGGACTCCCAACCACTGCGCCACCAGGGAAGCCCTGAAAAATAAATTTTTTTCTCTACATGATTTTTCCGTGGTTGGCTCTCATTAACAGAGGGAGCTTCTTTGAGGATGTAATAAGAAAAGCTAAAGAATTGAAGATGGGTTCCACTCCTGTGCACATGAACTTCTGTGTTTCTATCAAGCTTTCAGATACTTCACTAGAGGAGAATTTTTCTTTGGCTGTAGTTTCATCTTTGCTATAATAAAATCCTAAGCACAAGAGTAGAAAACGTGTCCTTTACTTATTTATAGCATGTATATTCTCTCCCCCACCCCCAACCTGCCCCCCACACAGACATTTATGATACAGCCAACATTGATACAGTGTTTACTGTGTCCCGGTGACATCCATTCATTCATTCATTTTGGCTGCGCTGTGTCTTAGTTGCTGCACACGGGATCTTCGTTGCTGCACGTGGAATCTTTGTCGCGGCATGCGAACTCTTAGTTGCGGCGTGCATGTGGGATCTAGTTCCCCGACCAGGAATCGAACCCGGGCCCCCTGCATTGGGAGCGTGGAGTCTTAACCACTGCACCACCAGGGAAGTCCCTGTTCTGGTGCTTTTCATGTTTTATTTCATCTGTCTTCACAGCAGCCTCATAATAAGGAATAGATATTGTTATTATTACTCTTTTAATAATGGTGAGGCGTCTGAGATGCAAATTATGTAACTTACCCAAGGTCATACAACTACTGAGTTAGCAGAGCTGGGATTTGAACTCTGGTAATCTGGCTCCTTAAAAAAAAAATTGTGAAACATACATAACTGTTTACTGCTTTTCAGTGTACAATCTTATGGCCTTAGGTATTTTCAAAGTGTTGTACAACCATCACTACTGCCCATTTCCAGAACTTTCCCCTCCCTGTAGCACCTGGTAAAACCTTTATCATACTTTCTATGAATTTACTTATGCTAGGTTATCTCATTTAAATGGGATCATACAATATTCATCTTTTTGTGTTTGTGTTATTTCACTTAGCATAATGTTTTCAGGGTTCATCCATGTTGTCACATGTATCAGAGTTTCATCCATTTTTAAGGCTGAATAATATTCCATGTATGCCTTTACCACATTTTTTTAATCCATTCATCTCTTGATGGATATTTGGGTTGTTTCTACCTTTTGGCTATTGTGAATAATGCTCCTGTGAACACTGGTATGCAAGTACTGTTTGAATCCCTGCTGTCAGTTCTTTTGGCTATCTCCCTAGAGGTGGAATTGCTGGGTCATATGGTAATTCTGTTTAATTTTTCTCTTAACTTTTTGATATAGTAGAATACAGTAGTGTACACTCAAAGAGGAAAATTTTTTTGAATTCAAATAACTTAATCACACTCTTTATTCTGTCATCAGTGAAACTGAAAACTGCCTATATTTTAGAGTGTGAGAGATGTACATATCAGTTTCTGGAAGATGGGGGCCTTGGTACATGTCTGTTCTATACTGTGGCTGGTTTGATGTGAGCATTCAGCAAAAATTGGCCAATTTATCCCATTACTTCCTACCTTAATACATTCTGTGCTATGTTCTAGTACATCTTCGGAATTTATTTTTCCCCATCATTTCTTTATAATATTCTGTGTAAAACCTTTCTCTTTTTGAAAAATTATAGCCTCTTTTTCAAAATATCCTCTGAATCCACTGTTTGTTTCACATTTTTGTTAAATCCTGTAAGTTAGTTGCTATATTTTCTAGTATTGGGATTTACATTCACTTTATATTATATAATAACATTCACATGTCTATACTTGGTCTGTTTTTAATTTTTATTTATATTTTGAATTCCATGTGGATATAGAGTACATATATGTATTTAATTTTCTCAAGGTGCATAGTGTGCAAAGCATAAATTCATTATTTTTGAATGCTTGGTTCATTGAAGGTACGCACAGTGGCAGGTAATAGAGTTTAAAACTTCCAAAAGTTATTGTCTCTTTTCCATATTTTAAATGTTGGTGAGTTTCAATTTTGTCACATATTTCTTGAAAGGAAATTTAAAATCTAGGCCCAGAATAATTTTTCCATTTAGCAGACAAGA